AACCCCATAACCATGCTACCTGTTCTGTGCACGAACACCTTGGTTGGTCTAAGACCTAACAGAAGGTCAAACTACCACTAAGACATTGCACCCTCAGCTTTACCATCTAGGACGACCATCTAGCCATTACTGACCCCAAGTGGTATCGTAGAGTGACCACCCATACAGGAAGTCCCCCCCAAGGTATAGTAGTGACCTTAAGGACAGGACTGCGCACATGCCAATGGCCTCATAGGGAACGTTAGAAGGACACCATGACCCTTAGTTGAAATGTGCAGCCTAACTGTACACACTAATTCACCATGATGCAGTCCAACTACACTAATCCCTGTACCTTCACGCTATTGGTTGTAGCGTCCGCAGTAAAATTCGTTTAATTTCCGTGATCGGCGGAATTGAACCTGCGACCTCACCATACTCAGGCTTAATGAGGGTCTCAGTGACTAACCACTGAGATAGGGTGATCAACCCCTAGTTTTATCCTTTTACTGTGCAAACAGTCTTGTGACTTTATCTTTTATTTATACTTTAAACTTCGAAAAATAATCGAACAATATTACAGAAATAAGAAAATAAACTAATAATAAAAAATAAAAAGAGTAGCTTCACGACTCATACAAGTAAAGAAATCTAAACTAAAATAAAATTAAAGCAAAGAAAAACTGAACTATTACAGAATCGCATACCCCAACTTTACCCGAAGGCCAGTGTGAGTCAACTATCCAACATCCAAAAATCCAGTCCGTTACCAGAAAGAAATCCTAAGAGGTTGAACTGTTAAGCAGCGCAGAAAATCCAAGTGAGAAATCAAAGATCCACCCCGAATTATAGAAGAGGATATCCAAGAAATCCAGGAATCCTGAGAAACTGACGCCAAAGAAGAGTTGTGATGTTGTGGAGTAGTATTAGGGAGAGAATTAGTTTTATCCTTTTACGATCACTGGCTGATGAGTTATTCAACAAAATGTTAAGCATCGGCATTATTATATTCCTTGATTTACGTTTACTGCGCCATTTAACATTTTGCTAAATATCTCGGTACCTAGTGATTGTAAAAAGACGATTAATAGCTCGTTGGAATCGCCTCATCAAGGCGAATCGAATGGTGGTAAGCTCATCTCTCTATGATCAATATTGACGGAGTTACTACTTAAAAACTATTTAATATTTTTTAATTTCGGAAATTGATCTAGTGATTAGATTTCGATGTATTTTATACCATTAGATTTGTCGCATCAAGACGAATCGAATGGTAGTAAGATCGTCTCTCTAGGATCAATATTGGCAGAGTTATTACACAAAAACCATTAATATTTTTTTAATTTCGGAAATTAATCTAGTGATTGGATTTCGAAGAAATTTATACCATTAGAACCGTCTCATCAAGACGAATCGAATGGCGGTAAGATCATCTCTCTATGATTAATATTGGAGGAGTTACGATACAATAAAGTTTTGAGTATAATTTTGGCCAAAAGTATGTTAATTTTTGGCCGGAATTATGATATACTAATATAAGAAATTTTTTATATAGTCACATCTCTTTATAATCACCAAATATGGACTGTCCCAAATGTGTGACTATAAAGAGAGTTGACTGTACTTTTAATTTCCTCGTAAGGAAATTTTTTAGCAATGATAGATAAAATACGAGTTTTTCCATCATACCCATTTTGTTAATATTTACTGCCTCCCGAAATGAATCCCAAAAAATCTCAGTTTTATTTTGAAAATGAACTGGTATTGGATTAATAAATCCTTGCTTGTATAGCATCATCAGATTTTTTTGATCAACAGTTGGAGCGGAAGATCTAGACCAAAACTCACACTTTAAAATAAACAAATATTAGTTAATATTCACTAATTATTCAATTATTCTTATCAATTTACTAACCTCTGATTGTTCCTTAGTAAAGGGAGTAATTTTTGTACATCCCACATTTTTCAACATTGATTTCCATGCATGTAACTCTCGATCATTGATATTGTGATTAAATGGATATAATTTTTTAAATTGTGTTCGCAGTTCTATTATAGTAGATGTTTCAGAGCGCCAATCATTAAATAACAATTGCCAGTTGATAATTGCTGGAATTTGTCATCTAAGATGATGTGAATACATTCTTCTCATCACGTCATCATCATTCCATTCTTCTAATGTACAACTAGGCGTTGACAAAACCAATTGTTGTATTTTGTTATTTTCCAGCCCAAACAATTCTTTTCCTTCATATTGTTGTAAAATTGCAACTTCTTTCCATACCAATTCTGGATTATTATCAACATAAATATTACATATTTCATTTCCTGAGTATATCGTGACCTGACAATTATCATCCTCTAATTCCTGGACAAAGACACATCTTTTTTTTCGATATGTGTATATAAAAGAAGTCTTATATCCCGTTCCAGCAAAATTCCATTCATTATTATTAGATTTTCCAATTCCCAATACCCATATATTTAATTTTCCTAAAGGAAATAGGAAAGCACGAAATGGTAAATCCTTTAGTAATGCTTCAGAAATAATTGGTATGTCAAACCCCATTACTGCAGGCCCAGAATATTTGGCATTTGTCTGAAAGATCTCTTTATAAACGCTATTAACTGCAGCTGTAAGTGATTCGCAGAGTTCACTTTGAATACCATCACATTTGCAAATATATCCAGGTATTTGACCATAATTTGAAAAGGTTTCAACAACCTCAATAATAAAGTCCCGGTCTTTTAAATTAACTAGAGTTTTCATACGTAATCTAATAGGGTGAAGAAATATTGGATTTTCGCGTTTTTCAGAAGGTCTAGAAATCCACCAATTATGACAAAAAGGCCCATAATGTAGAGCGTCTACTATTAGGCCTGAAGAAATTAATGTAACTGTGTATTCTTTATGTTTAGGCATAAGTTTATATGAGGAAGTGAAAGATTCTAAAACGCGTTGTATTGTATAAGATCACTTATCCCCAAATGTATATTGATTATCTATGGATTTTCACTGATCAACATCTGGATCACGAATTAAATTTTCTTCCTCAGCCGGAATTGCATAATGTCGGCTGTAATGTAGTACAGATTCATGCAAAATATTGTAAATACCTTAATTATAATCACGCCTATATAATAAAAATAAAAAATAAAAACTAATAATAATAAAATTGAAAGTAATACTTAAGTTTCTTAGCGCTCTCATTCAAGAAAAAAATCAAATGTAACTAATTAGAATATACAGTATAATAAATATAATACCAATACACGACACGAGGTTCTCAAACTATATAACGGAGAGTTATACCTAATTCTTTACTCAAAAAATATAATACAAAGACGTTGCATCTAATACTCAATTGACGTGTTACCAATAACTTGTAGATATTATCTTTTATCTCATTGGGACCGAATTTTATTATGGTTAAAAAACTTTAACATTAATTTAATTAACTTAGTTAGAAAGAAAGACATAATAAAATTTAATTCTTAATAAATTATGATAATTTTTTTTTTATTAGAATTCATATGAATAATATTAATAATATTACATGCATTTAATTTTTTTTTTTTTTATTAAATTTTTTTAGCATAATATTAATTGAGAATAAACGTTACCTTATTAATTGATAATCAAAATCATAAATATGCTTGAGGATCAAAACTTCTTGCGCCATTCCGCCTTTACCATGAAAGTTATAAATCTTTAATTTAGGTGCAAAGTAAAGATTGCTATTTGATTTTCTTCGGGCAGCTGGAATCAAAAATGTGGTTTAAAATGTGGTTATTAAGGGATTTTCCATTTATGTACTAGTAAAATTAATTCGGTCAAATATAGATTTATTATGTTTTTATAATTTTTTGCTTGAAAAACATTATAAAAACGTATTATGCATTGTAAGTTGTATAGTAATTATAATAATCATATAGCGAAAACATGGTAAATATACAGTTTACTGCACATTAAGAAAATTAAGTTTCTGTAAATCTACAAGAAATATAAAAGATGAGATTCTAAGAAATATATCGGAGAATATCCTCGTACCTAATTATCACTTCACGAATGTTTCATCCGAAATTAAAAAAAAAATTACAATGTCATAAAAATAGCAATCCAATTAGGTACTTTTATCTCATTCAAGTCGAATAAACTGAATAATCAGCTTTGACTTTTTTAGAACGGGTTATTAACACAATTAGAAGATATAATTTTATATAGGAAAAAATAAACAACCCTAATCTAACCTTTTATGTATTAATATTTCTGCATCTAATATTTTTTATGTTAACATAATAATTTCCAGTTATTGTCAAAATTTTTTAATTCTAGAATTCACGGTTTGCGATGTAAAATCTCTTGTAACGATATACTTAAACGGGTTTTAAATTGAAACGCATCGAACCTCCTTGGTTACAACAATTCCAAAATAGAAAAGTTCCAACAAAAAAAATTTTCATGTTGGTTTTCGCAATTTTATTCAAAGTAGATCTTTTAACATGTAAAATTTACTAAAGCGGTTATGATATCACTGATCAGTATTTCCCTCGTGACAAATTTTTTTTATAAATTCGGATATACTCTAAGCCGATATATACCTAAGAAAATTTATAATTATAAGATTAAAGACGATACAAAATTTTAAATCTTATAAATACATTTAATATACTGCATTGTTATAAATGGATAAATGGGCTTAATAATTTATCCATATATTTAATATAAAGATAAAAAAAGTTTATAACGTAATTTTGTATATCTTTAATGATTCTATAAAGAAAATAAAGACGTGTGATACAAAATACAAATTATCGTCACACCTAAAATGACAAACGTTCAACTTTATACTTATAGAAAATCTGACGGAAAGATTTGAAATCATAATTTTCGTGTGACACCATAATTTTCGTGTGGCACCTGCACACAGGAAAAAAAAAACAATTTTATAGTTAGATGTTTTATTGTTTTTTTTTACATATAAATATTGCATCTAAAACCTTCTTTTTTTGAAAAAAATCTTTTGCAAAGAAATAACAAAAATCAACTTGATAATTTCCTAAGCAAAAGATAAAAAAAAAAAAGAAATAATGTATTTACCGCACCCTGTGTTACAAATTTATATATATTTTTATGTTTATCATTTGCCATTTTAAGGGGTGTGCGGTGTATAAACTAAAGATTGACATAAACAATTTACAAAAAAGGAAGGGTGCGTTGTAACTAAGGTTGCTTGTCTAAACCTCTTCAAAATCCTACGATTAGTTTTGTCAAAATTTTACTATAGATTTATTATAGTTTCGGCAAAGTTTCAGCAGTTTCGGCATTTATAATAAGTTTTGGCAGTTTCGCTTTTCTCCAAAGTTTCGCCAGTTTTTTAATATAACTTTAATATAGTTTCGGCAGAATTTCGCTTTTTGGCGAAACGCCATCTTGCCTAAACCCCTAGGTTTCGGCAAGCAACCTTAGTTGTAACGCAGGGTGCGGTAAATAAATTCACTCAAAAAAAAAAATTAAATTCTCATAATTTTCTCATATTAAATTCAAAAAAAAATAAAATAAAATAATAAAATCTCATATTTTAAATTTTTTTTTATTCTTCACTAATTTATTAATTCATCATGAGTGTAGCACATTTAGAAATTCTTACTGATTCAAACAACTTTCAATCTTCTCATATTAATTCTGCATCGCAGAGTATTTTCTATGATAATGAAAATTATGATTATTCTCAACAAACAGATTCTATTACCATCCCATCTCAATTATATTCTGAACAATCTCATTTTATGAATCAAAACGATTTATCAAATCAACAATATTCAATCAATCAACAATTACTTAAAAGTATACCGATTCATCCAACCAAATTTTTTTATCAGCCACCAAATGTTCCTTTCAATTATCACATTAAATGTGAAAAAATTTCTAACCAATCATTAAATAAGTCAATTAATAAACAATTAAAAGAAAATGAATATACATTTTTTTATTTACAATTAAGTGACTACCAATCTTATCAGATAACATGTGAAATGTTTACTCCTTTTTCGATTAATAATTATTTGAATAAAAATATTTATGGTATCGAAGTTGAACAGATACAAGAAGAGCTTGCTATATTTACACCTTATCACAAAGAAAATCTTAAATCCTATTTAACACAATACCTAAGTTATTATATACTTAATTAATTAATTTTGAACATTATTATTAATTACACTATCTAATATAGAATTTAATAGTTAATTTGTATATTTATAATTAGATATTTTAATTAAGGATTTTATAAAAAATCGCCATAGCGATATGTCGCAAGTGTCACGTGACTTTACATATGTGAATAATTTGTCACCCCGCATCACATCCTCTAGTTTTCCATTTTTATTATTTATTCTGGGGACTTGAATTTTTTCAGTGCAAAAAATACTATTTGTCACTCCCTATACATCACATGCTTAATCTCGGCCAAATTTTATAACGCTGGCCAAAATATCCTTTTTTGGAGCTTTAGGTAACGTTACACAATCCAAAAAAGGCAATTTTATTTTTCAGCAAAATTCAAGTTTTGTTACACAAAACTTCCAAAAAAGGAAATTTCTTTGACGATCTTTTAATTCCCGGCCGGAATTATAAAATCACGTGACACTGGCGATGCATCGCCATGGCGATAAAAAACAAAACCCTTTAATTAATTTAATTTGAACAATAATTTTGTCATTAGATTTAATCTTGAAAACATATTCTATATATAAAATTAATAATTTCATGTTATCAAGTTAATAAAATAATAAACCCTTAGTTATGTTAATCTAGACTATTTTAATTAGATTTTAATTAGATTTTTTAAATATTATAACTAATACCTAATGATCGTCATCTTAATAAAATGCTTCTTATATAAAGATGATCCAAAAATGGAAACTTTAAAACTTTATTCGATTATCATAGCCAAATAAATTTTTGGATTTTCAAATCTAATGTTGCATCACAATAATTAACCTCGTTTCAGATCATCAGATATACCGTACTAACATAACATGCACAATCTTATATACTTTACATCACACTGTAACGCAAGTCATTTAAATAATTTACAATTTGTTTATTTACTACGAACTGATCCACCATAGTAACATTTACATTTTCATGTCACGTTAAAAATATTAGATACTCGAAATACCACTTTGATGGTGCCGATACTTGCAAAGTATAGTACGATAAAGTACTATCAAAAATAATAGCTTATTAGTTTGGTCCTTTTAATTCTCTGTATCCTATTTCTATAAAGCCTGGTTAATTTTACCGTCAATTATTTCACCAAAAATCACTTCAACGACAAACGTCTCACCGATAGGGTGGTCATTTCGCAATAAATGTTTCATCGACTATCATTTTATTGACAGTCCATTTCGCGATAAATGTTTCATCTATCATTTTATTGACAGTTCATTTTGCTCATTTTAAAGAAAATTAAATTACCTTTTTTTTTGTTTTTGCCAGTTAAAATTAATAAAAATGATAAATGATATGCGATAATAATAAAAATTTGAAAGCTATAATAATCACTAAATTAGAACCATGTTAAAAAAAAAAGAACAATTTTGTATTTTTATATGAAAGTCATATATATATTTTTTAATTTATATTTAATTTCATAATATTTATAAATTATCTGTCAATGAGATTTGCTTATTGGTGAAAGAGCTATCGATGATATGATTGTTGGTGAGTTAAATGCGTCCCTTTCTTGTAGCTGTTATTTTAAAATAATTTTTTTTATGATTAATATCAAAAACTTTTGTTTTAATAGATTTTGAAGAAAATGTGTTTTGATCGTGTGTCTACCTTTATCTACTACATTTTCGAAGTTAGAACTTTTCAAAAAAACCTTAACCGGTTAATATTAATTTTTTTTTTTTTTTGGTTGCAACTTGCAAATAATATTATACTCACATATTAGTTGTATTTCATTCATCTTGTTATTACAATTGTACGGGTCACATTGAACTAGACAATTTCCTGAAACATCCAATTTCTCGAATTCTTATTTCTCAAATCCCAATTTTCTAAAATTCGATTTTTCCTGTCAATATCCTGAATCCCAATATCTCGAATTCCAATATTTTGCATAAATTGCTGTTTTTCTAAATTTTATTAGACAATAATTAAAGTGAGACATTCTAGATTTCTAGTTGAATGATAACTGTTCATTCTGCGTTTCTTTTGTGAATGCATTTTTGTATAAACTTTAATAATAAAGTTAAAAAATTTGGTGAAATCAAATTTGCAAGAAAAAAAAACACTTCTGTATGTAAAGAAAATTGATTCATAACTGAAAAATTATACTGAAAAATTATGCCAAGAAATTTTTCTCGAAGTACAAACATCAGATTAATTTTTTAATTTCTTTTTCCTTTGATAATGAATAAAAATGCTTGTATTATTTAGGAAAACTAGACAAATTTTTTTATTTCACATGATATTCCTAGCTATCACGTGATATTAGTAAGATATTTCCCGATAAATATCCCTCAATTTATCACCTAATCATTACTTAGTGAATGAGCCCTGATTATCCCTAATTATGTTGTTTCATACAATATATGAGCATCAATTATAACATATACATGTTAATTTTCAATAAAATGTATACAAATTGTATATAGACATGATATTTTAATAGTTTTGTTTGTTTTATTCATGCATTTATTCATTTAGTTATTTATTCATTCGTTTATTGTTTGCTCATAATACTAATTAAAAAAATAAATATTGAAAAAATAAAGTATCGGAAAAATTAAAAATCATATGATATGAGGTTGGGTACAGGGTCGCCAAATAATAATAGCCTTATATTTATTATTTTGATAATTTATATCTCATAATTGGAAAAGTTATAAAAAAAAAGATTTATTTAAATTACAAAATAAGAAACTTGTAAAATATTTACTACTCTAGTCTTAGTGTTTAAATAATTCTAAGTATAATAAAAAAAGTGAAAAGCTAAAAAAAAAAAGGAATTATTTAAATTACAAACTAAGAAACTTGTAAAATATTTTACTACTCTGGTCTTAGTGTTTAAATAAATCTAAAAAGAATAAAATAAAGAACAATTTCTTTTGAATGCGTAATATCACATATCACTTAAAAAAACTATAAATTTTTTTAAGAACAAACAATGATTAGTTGATTTTTTCATCTGTTTTAATATCTAAATAATTAAATATTAAATAAAATTAATTTTACATAAATAATTTACAAGATTAATTCCTTTTATATATCATAGTACATACCTAATGACCCCAAATCCTTAATTATATAATCACTCATATCTTCATTTACTAGTATTTCATTTGCTTTTACACTAGTAGCTTGTGAATCTTCACTTTCAAGAATTTCATTAAACTTTTTACTAGTATTCTCATCTGGTTTAATAATTAAATAAATTAATTAATTTCATATAAATAATTTGCAAGATTAATTTTTTATATATTATAATACATACCTGATGACCCTAAATCCTTAATTATATAATCATTCAAATCTTCACTTACTAGCATTTCATTTGCTTTTACACTAGCTTGTGAATCATTTTCAAGAATTTCATTCAATTTTTTACTAGTAAAATCAAGTAAGCGACTTGTATAACATGCTTTAGGATGAGATTTTGTAACAAGATTGTTATTCCCAATTGGTGCATTTATAAATTCCATAATGTTGCTTTTTAATTCTTCATTAATTTTATCATCACTAGGACAGAAAATCCAATTAACAAAAATATTTTCCACTTCTGATGTAGATGGCCTTTTTAATGGATCTTCATTCCAACATTTTTTCATTAAATCTACATAACATTGCGGAGTATTTTCAATAATTTCAGGTCGTTCACCTTTTCTACAAATATCTAAACTAAGTTCAAGATCATGTGCTCTATTATTAAATGGTGGTATTCCAGATGTAAACTCCCACATAATCATAGAAAAACTATATATATCACTAGCTGGAGTATAAGGTTTGCCTCTTAAAACTTCAGGAGCCATAAATGGTATAACACCATAAATATCATACTATTACAAAAACGATTTTACAGGTTGACATAATCCTAAATCACTAATATAAATTTTATCCTTATTCTTATTAACATGATTTAAAATATTACCATCATGAAAATCACAATGAATAAGATTTTTTTTATGTATCTTACTAAGTCCAGAAATAATTTCGTACAACATATATAATTTTTGATTCCAACTATTTTCGACTATTGTTGTTAAATTTTCTCTTAAATTACCTTTATTTGCATACTCCATTACTACCATATATTTTGAAGTATTTGGAACTTCTGTGAATCCATAAACATTTATAATATCAGTTGAAGTTAAAACACTTGCATGATATCCCCACTATAAAAAATAATAATATTATTATATATAAATAAATTTTAATTTAAATTAAAAATAGAAAATAATATACTACCATACCTCTTTTAAAAATTCATTTAAATCTTCATTTAAATTCTTGGGACATTTAAGAATTACTTCTTCATCTCCATTATTCTTTAACCAAATAGCTCTGTATATAGTACCAAATCCTCCTTCACTAAGATGTTCAACCCCTTTAAATTTGTCATAAGGAATCCATTTTAATCCTTTTTCAAGAATAAATTTATCTATAATTGCATTTCCACTTTTTTCAAATCTATAATTTAAATAATTAAAATTATTATGTTATAGATTGTATTATAATTTACAAAAAAATAAATTATTACTTACTCTAAAATTTAAATAGGAATTTAATGTAATATAAGTCTTAGCTTTTGGATAAATACATATAATAATCTATAATTTACAACTTACCAACTAAAGTAACAGATATTTTAAATGAAAGAATTAAATTAACAAATAAATATTATATAAAATTATAACAATAGAGATACTTACAAGCTAGATCATAAATAATTTTTTAAATAAAGAAATTAGATAGTTTAAATTATATGTAAATATTATAACAATAAGTAATAATAGAATTAAATAAATAACTTACTCCCTATATTATTTAATAATTTTTTAAATAAAGAAATTAGATAGTTTAAATTATATGTAAATATTATAACAATAAGTAATAATAGAATTAAATAAATAACTTACTCCCTATATTATTTAATAATTTTTTAAATAAAGAAATTAGATAGTTTAAATTATATGTAAATATTATAACAATAAGTAATAATAGAATTAAATAAATAACTTACTCCCTATATTATTTAATAATTTTTTAAATAAAGAAATTAGATAGTTTAAATTATATGTAAATATTATAACAATAAGTAATAATAGAATTAAATAAATAACTTACTCCCTATATTATTTAATAATTTTTTAAATAAAGAAATTAGATAGTTTAAATTATATGTAAATATTATAACAATAAGTAATAATAGAATTAAATAAATAACTTACTCCCTATATTATTTAATAATTTTTTAAATAAAGAAATTAGATAGTTTAAATTATATGTAAATATTATAACAATAAGTAATAATAGAATTAAATAAATAACTTACTCCCTATATTATTTAATAATTTTTTAAATAAAGAAATTAGATAGTTTAAATTATATGTAAATATTATAACAATAAGTAATAATAGAATTAAATAAATAACTTACTCCCTATATTATTTAATAATTTTTTAAATAAAGAAATTAGATAGTTTAAATTATATGTAAATATTATAACAATAAGTAATAATAGAATTAAATAAATAACTTACTCCCTATATTATTTAATAATTTTTTAAATAAAGAAATTAGATAGTTTAAATTATATGTAAATATTATAACAATAAGTAATAATAGAATTAAATAAATAACTTACTCCCTATATTATTTAATAATTTTTTAAATAAAGAAATTAGATAGTTTAAATTATATGTAAATATTATAACAATAAGTAATAATAGAATTAAATAAATAACTTACTCGCTATATTATTTAATAATTTTTTAAATAAAGAAATTAGATAGTTTAAATTATATGTAAATATTATAACAATAAGTAATAATAGAATTAAATAAACTTACGATCTATTAATTAAATAAAGAAATTAGATAGTTTAAATTATATGTAAATATTATAACAATAAGTAATAATAGAATTAAATAAATAACTTACACCCTATATTATTTAATAATTTTTTAAATAAAGAAATTGGTTAGATTGGATTGTACAAATAATATAAATATAGATATCATATAACTTACACCCTGTAGTATTATTAATTATTAATTAGTTAATATAAAAGTAATTATTGTAAATTATATATATATTACTTACAATCTAGTTATTTAAATTAAGAATATAATTAGTTGAATTATGTAAAATATTAAACAAATAAATATAATATTTATATTGTAACTTACCATCTGTAATACAATTAATTATTAAATAGTTATTTAAACAAAGAATTTAGTTATTTGAATGTTGTATAGAATAAATAAAGTAAAGATTTAAATAACTGATAACTTACTAACTACAGATTATTAATTATTGAATAAATTATTTAGTTATATGGAATACAATAAAAATAATGAGTAATTCATTATATTAACTTACGAGCTAAATATTTAATATAATTTTTATATAATATAGTTAGCCTAGATAGTATTTGAATTGTTTATAAATGAAATTCTAATATTTCAGCTTGTTTGATATACCTTTAGATTCCTTGGTGTTACTTTCTTCAAATTCCTTAATATTACTACTTTCAAATTCTTTAGTGCCACTTCCCTTAAATTTTCCAGTACCACTTTCTTCAAATTCTTCAATATTACTGGAAACTAGTTTTGTTATATTTCAAATTTGGTTTAATTATATTTGATTATTTATAATTAAATAAAAGTCTTATTATTTCAATTTTGTTTTGTATATAATATTTACCTTCAGGTTCTTTGGTATTACACAAAACTAGTTTTATTATATTGCAAGTTCATTTTAATAATTTGAATAATTTCAATTTATGTTATTAATCATGTTATAAGCTTTACCTTTACCAATACATTGGCCCATTGCTATATTAAAACTCTCCCTAATTGAAAAAGATAAATATATATTTTTTTCTTTTTTTTTATTATTAAATGCCTTTTAAACGTCTTTATTAGTATGAATAAATATGGTAATAATATTTATGCAAAATACATTATGTGCAAAAGCATTGATCACAAGTACAAACATAATGTTGCATAATTTTAGTTGTTGGATGATCATCATGCACTAATATATTATTAGTCAGTGAAATGATCATCATAATTTTATATGATTTTTATTATTATTATATATTTTTATTATATTCTTATTTTATTTTAGTATATTCGCGATAGTATACTTTTAATGTGATAGTTATTGATGATCACTTTCCAAATAAATGTACTTTTTCGCTTAATTTGGTATTTGTTGTGTAATCTTCAAGTATTTTTTCAGAAATTTGGAAGTGTGCAACGCGAACTTTAGAGTTCAAATTTTTATATATAAAAATATGCATATTGCATATGAGGGAAAACTTCTTCTTCTTTGTATTCAAGACCATTTTTACTGCAGAATTTTTAAAGGAAAAAGTTCAATTTTAAGAGTAAGTTTATTAAGTTTTAACTTGTTCGAGATGTCAGGGTTGCAACCTAAGGTCCACGCCACTCGGTCAAGTACAAGACAACAACAAGATAAAGAAGTTAACAAACCAGAACAACAGCAAACTCTTCAAGACTCAATACATAAACCAGTCTTCAATATCAATCCTATTATTCAGGATTGGCAACCTGCAAGTTCTCGTAAAACTAAAAGAAAAGATAAAGAAAAACAAGTTGAACAAAAACAACAGAAAAAACAACCTTGTTTGCTTTTAGGCAACATAAATCTACTGAAAAAACTACTGATGATATGGATATTAGTCAAGATACTTTTGCTTCTTCATCTGAAAGCGGTGGCGCAGCAAAATCCAATACAGATAATCAAGTAACACCAGAAAATCAAGATGCACCAATTGATGGTGAAAAAATTGATGAAATGATCGTTGACAATGGAAAAATTGATAATCAAACAGATGATCAATCTTTTATTAATAAGGATAATCAGAAAAATGGGGATACTAATGACATAATTAGTGATAATCATTCAGAAATTTTTAATAAGGCTAAACCTATTTTAGTTAAAATCAAAAAAGATTCTATTCCAGGAAACAATATTATTCAAAAAAAGTTTAATTTGAGAAAACAACTAGCTGGAATTAATGTTACCCTGGCCGGGGAGTTATCTTAAATAAGAAAGAACCCGAATTTATCATTTTACCAATAATGAAAAATGATTATGATAAAATTATTAATCTAGAAATTGATATTATCGATGATGAACAGTCACATGAAAATGGTGAAGATGCAGAGTCGAGTACTAATAGTAAGGTTAAGAAAATAATAAAATTTACACCATATCAAAAAACTAAAAAAGTTTTTACTGAAGAAGAAATTAAAGATAGAAATTGTAGAACGATTAAAGTTATAAATATTCCAATTGAAATTCCTAATTATCAAATTAGAGTCCATAATATCCTTATTAGGAGATGCGTCTAGAGCTGTATTTAACAAATATGGTGAAATAGAAGAAAATGGCTTTTATACCAGAATTAGAAATTTATATATTCAAGCTTTCATTACATATAAAAAAGAAGAAAGTCTACAAAAATTATACAAAGGCATATGGTCAGAATGGATTGGAAAACATCAAGTACTTATTGTGCCAAAAATTTTGTTAGAAGATGAAATAGAAAAAAGATCAATGTATACAGTTAAATTAACTGGATTACCATGAAATTCAACTGCTTATGATATACATGAAGCTTTAGAAGTTAACAATCCTAAGTATATTTTTATACCATGTAATCCAAATAATAATAAACCATTGAATTATGCAATAGTTTATTATGAAAATGATGAAGATATAGGTATTACAGCAGAAAGAAATACTATTTTTTGTAATAGAACGCTTTATTGGGGAACTCCAGGTGAAAAATCATGCCATAGATGTGGTTCCTTTGATCATTTAATTAGTAAGTGTGATATTGAACCATCTGCTAAACCACGTGTAATGAATAGAAAGCAAAAGCTTAAGGAGTTTCGTCAAGAAAATAACAAGAAGTTTAAAAAAGGCAGTTATGCAAATTTAACAAAATAAAATTCATTTGAAAAATGTCAGCAAAGTAATAATTCAAATAATTATTCTAAATATAATAATGGAAATATTAATAGATATTGGAATAAAAATATTTCACANAATAAAATTTACACCATATCAAAAAACTAAAAAAGTTTTTACTGAAGAAGAAATTAAAGATAGAAATTGTAGAACGATTAAAGTTATAAATATTCCAATTGAAATTCCTAATTATCAAATTAGAGTCCATAATATCCTTATTAGGAGATGCGTCTAGAGCTGTATTTAACAAATATGGTGAAATAGAAGAAAATGGCTTTTATACCAGAATTAGAAATTTATATATTCAAGCTTTCATTACATATAAAAAAGAAGAAAGTCTACAAAAATTATACAAAGGCATATGGTCAGAATGGATTGGAAAACATCAAGTACTTATTGTGCCAAAAATTTTGTTAGAAGATGAAATAGAAAAAAGATCAATGTATACAGTTAAATTAACTGGATTACCATGAAATTCAACTGCTTATGATATACATGAAGCTTTAGAAGTTAACAATCCTAAGTATATTTTTATACCAAGTAATCCAAATAATAATAAACCATTGAATTATGCAATAGTTTATTATGAAAATGATGAAGATATAGGTATTACAGCAGAAAGAAATACTATTTTTTGTAATAGAACGCTTTATTGGGGAACTCCAGGTGAAAAATCATGCCATAGATGTGGTTCCTTTGATCATTTAATTAGTAAGTGTGATATTGAACCATCTGCTAAACCACGTGTAATGAATAGAAAGCAAAAGCTTAAGGAGTTTCATCAAGAAAATAACAAGAAGTTTAAAAAAGGCAGTTATGCAAATTTAACAAAATAAAATTCATTTGAAAAATGTCAGCAAAGTAATAATTCAAATAATTATTCTAAATATAATAATGGAAATATTAATAGATATTGGAATAAAAATATTTCACGTGATAGAAATAATAACGTTAATGAAAAGTCACTTGATCAAGGAATTTTCACGCAAATTAAACAACTTAATGAGAATTTGAATAAATTAGCTAATGATTTCAAAAAAATCCAACAAGAAAACTATCGTATTAAATCTGAATTTTATAAATATAAAGAAAACAAGTCTACAACAAGTTCAGGAAAAAATATTAAAGTCAATCAAGATAGAAGTAAAATAGCCTTACAAAATGAGAATAAAAAAAGATCAAGAGTTGATAATGAACAACTTGAAGCCTCAGGATCTTCAGATATAGAAAATAGTTTAAAAAAACAAAATAACGAAATTAATAGATTCGGTGATGCTTTATCAACTATGAGTAAAAATATCTCAAAAATTATGGAATATTTTACTTCTGACAATAATAATGACGTTAATAATTTTCAAGGGATAAAATTATTGACAATAAGGCCACTCCAATTCAATAGTTTGTTTAACGTACTCCACCCCCTCGTTTTTGAAAAATTTTTAAAGATAAACAAACATTATGTTATATCACATGATTTATAACAATATTGCCGATCTGTACAATATTTAAAGGAATTTCTTTGAATCTCCCGAATCTATGTTTTCATAATAAAAATAAATAAAAATAAATAAAAAAATTTCTTTGCATCTGAATCTATATTTCTAGTGGTACAATTAATAATAGTAGTATATGTAAACTTATCAATTGCACTATCTGTAATAAACCAAGATATATTTTTAGTAAAATTGCAGAGTGATAAAGAAAAAACTAATTTAGAAATTTTATTAAATAATGTGATTTATATTTGTGGATCTCCTATAACTCCTGAAATACATAATCATTACAAAAAGTTTATGTTAGACAAAAAATCTATTGTAGTAGTCCAATTGAAGCTGTATATTATTCATATCATCATTAAATTATTTGTTTTTATTGTAGGGAAAAAATGAGTTATTAGAGTCAGATGATAGCTTGAAGAAAAATTTACTACTATATATTCATTTTGCCAAACTTGTAAAAGTAAAGGTTATTAATTTATATGTTTATTTTTAAATGTTTACTTAATTTGATCCCCTCCCTCCTCAATTTTTATATAAAGTTAGGATGTTAAACAAACTATTAAATTGGAGCGGCCTAATGAATCCCATGAGGATTAAATACCCCTTTAAATATTATCTTTAATGATGAACAATAAAAAAACACATTCTTTTAAGAAAAAACATTATAATAATCCTTCCCCTGTTAATCAAAAATCACGTTCAAATTTAAATAATCAACAAATTTATCGTCAAAAAACAAGTCAACGACTCAATTTATCAGATATAATTAAAATAGCTTCATTGAATATTAAAGGTATAACTGATGTTAAAAAACAATTCTTAATTGATATATTAGGTGAATATAATATAACTATTTTGGGTCTATCAGAAACTAATATATAGAACAAAATGGCAAAACATTCTTTTAATTTTTATAGAAATAATTATGTTACTTATTTTGCAAATGAGGAAACTAATTATAGGGGAAATGGTG